CGGGTATCGTTTACGATATTTGGAAGTGAAGTTGTGATAACTGGGAGACGAGTTGCAATAACTGGGCGGTGGTGGCAGGGGATAGGCCAGGAGAAAGGGCGAGTTTGTAGTCTGGAAAGGCCATCGTTAAATGCAGAAATTGGAAAAAGGAGAGAGGAGGTTTGTGGAAAGCGAAGTGCCTTCACGGTTTTCTTATGCTCAGCATGAAACTTAGTGCTGAATGCTATACTTAGTACCTCACCTAGACAAAAAACACAGTACTACAATTTCCGCCATTCAACCCCAAGGCCTAAAATGAGTACGTATTGAGCGCTACTCTGACTTCCCCTACCACCATTCCTAGTCATCACAAGCGGCCATTGGGAGAGAGCCGAAGCAAGCCAAGTTTTAGCAATTGCCACCTTTCATCAATTATACGGAAATCTTTCAAAGCTCAGCTGGAAGTAGTTTTGAGCAGCTTTGCCCTGATTTTACGCTTACCACTTTCTCTTCCGTTCTTTTCCTCCTCCTTCTCCCTCCTCCCGTGCGTTCCGGATGCTTTAGATACACCACCGATCAAAATTAAGAAAAAAATGGAAATTGGGCGTAAAACTGATTAAAAAGCAGAATCGCAGTGACGTTTTGGCATTTAATTTAGTGCTTCGCACCGTTCTCGGGATTACCGTTCGATCTTGTGATGCACTCATTCTCCGTGCTACCGTTCGAATGTAGTGCAGTTGTTGCTACTGCAGCTGATGAGGCTACACAGTACTGCGGAGTGAACATGAAACCGTCGCCGTAGATGAATTTTCCGGATTCGTCGCTTTCCGGGATTGGCTGAGCTCCACCAACAAACGGTTGATATACGATGCCATTGCCACGCCATGGTAGCGGTAGAATCGTTATCGGTAGCTCGAGAAGTAGACGATCACCGAGTGACAGCTGCAAATTCCCAGGCAAAATAAGCATATACTGCTGATAAAGTTTGTGAAAAGCAAGCTTCCCATGCTGTGACTTTCAGAGTTCTTTTAATTTCATAATTTGATTCCACAATTCAATCATCTTTTTGCAATTCGTCCATCCGTTTCGATGAACTTGCTTGTAAGCAACCCGCAAAAGAGAGGGCCATCAACAGCTTTGCCAACTGGTAAACTGTTATTGGCATTCGGGCTATTTCCTGAGTGTCACTGTTTCTCGCAGAAAGAAATAATTGGCCAACACACGGGCTGCCCGTGCGAAGATGCGTTTTTTGCATGGTTCCCGCAGTTTTTGTTGCTACCGGCACCAGTTTTTTCGGCAAATGCTTCCACTAAACAAATTAAGACTGGCCACCAGAACTGTCAGAAAACATCCCCTTAAAATTTCAACTTTCTAGCTTCCTGAGTTAGCAACTTATTGGAACAAAATTTTCACAGGCCCATGCATGTTTACCAAGCATACCTGAGAGCTGGGTTCGAGCTGAATGAAACTTAGGTGGACGGGGTATGCGAGCTGAATGAAACTTAGGTGGACGGGGTATATCCTCTTAAAATTGCATTCCTTTAGTTTCTCAGATACTTGAGTTATCAGTTTACACGGAAAAAATTTTGGCAGGCCCGTATGTGGGTTCCACGCTTACCCGGGAGCTGGGTTTGAGCCCACTAATACCCACTTGGGCGGGGAACATTCTCCCATGATTTCAACCTCCTAGCTTCTCAGATCCCCGAGTTATGAATTTGCGCGGGAAAAATTTTTGGGGGGCCT